TCCATCTTCAATACGAACCATTGGAGTAATAAGAGAATTAAGCATTTCCAAGTATCTTTTACAGTTTGGTACAGACCACACTATAGATTCAACCATTTTCAATCATCAAATTCGTCAATGAAACTGCGTGGAAAAAATTTGAAAAATCATGAATATTCAGCGTCATTGAAATGACATTTTACGCAGAATTATTATTTTTTCAACATCCATTGCAATCGGACCGCAGAGGAAAAGAGAGGGAATGGCCATTATATAGAACAGTTTCGTGGATTAAAGTGATATAATTGATAAAGTTCAATTAAAAATATAGATGTTTGTAATCGTTATTTTCATCTAATAGCCTTTTATCGGGCAAACTTTGCTGATGTTGTTTTGGTAACTTTCAAGGATACAAGATTAAAATAGTTCATGGCATACTCTTTCAATTTTATTTATTCATAATTATTACAGGGATATATAGCTATGATCTCTTAACTTCATTAGATGAGCACTGAACGGAGGTCTCTCTTCGAGATGAGATATTGAAGAAAATAGATTTACATACAAAGTTAAATATCTCTTAGACTAATCATCCGATTCAGTCCATCTTCAATACGAACCATTGGAGTAATAAGAGAATTAAGCATTTCCAAGTATCTTTTACAGTTTGGTACAGACCACACTATAGATTCAACCATTTTCAATCATCAAATTCGTCAATGAAACTGCGTGGGAAAAATTTGAAAAATCATGAATATTCAGCGTCATTGAAATGACATTTTACACAGAATTATTATTTTTTCAACATCCATTGCAATCGGACCGCAGAGGAAAAGAGAGGGAATGGCCATTATATAGAACAGTTTCGTGGATTAAAGTGACATAATTGATAAAGTTCAATTAAAAATATAGATGTTTGTAATCGTTATTTTCATCTAATAGCCTTTTATCGGGCAAACTTTGCTGATGTTGTTCTGGTAACTTTCAAGGATACAAGATTAAAATAGTTCATGGCATACTCTTTCAATTTTATTTATTCATAATTATTACAGGGATATATAGCTATGATCTCTTAACTTCATTAGGTGAGCACTGAAAGGAGGTCTCTCTTCGAGAGTTCGTTAAGGAAGTTCGTTGACTCTTTTACAGAGGGGTTGGTACAAGTTTACGAAGGGTAGGGTGGACTTTGAATGCGATGAGCCTCGACTCACTGAACTCTGGACGGACACAAATTGCTCTTAGCTTCAGGGTGCATGTTACATAAGCACGATGTTTCCAATTTGTTTGGTCCGACACTTGGTGGGATTCGAGATCACCTATTCGCAAAATGCAATTGCAGAGGAATACCGGTATACCAACCGCTAATGTGCACTATCCGGCGATCTCGTCGTCGTAACGCTAATATTGAGCCAATAATTCTGCACTTGTGTGCAGAGAGTAATGGATTTCAGCTTCTGTTCCCAACTATTCGATATATAATGCACAAACTTTGTCGTCAAATATGCAGGGAATCATATATCAGCGATTTGCAGGTCATTAAACGACTAAATTGACCGTGCTATTGTAGTATTGTCAACTTGGAGATTACTATTAGCAGTTCGATTTCATTTGCATCAGCATTGGGAATAGAAGTGAGGAGGAGTACACGAGAATTTAATACTACTAGAGAATGAGGCCGTAGTCTAGAGTATGGACTGATATGCACTGAAAACAAAATTCGAGATGAAAATTATTTTGGAAGGAATCATTTTCTTGGGACAAGAATTTCTTTGTAGGAGCGTATTTCTCCAGGCCAGTCATTCCCAGGTGGTCCATGGCCATCTCCAAACATTACAATTGTGTTGAATTATGAGATGATTATGATAAATATGACCTTCAACATCCCTTATTATTTTTCAATTTTTTCAGATTTGAAATTTTCTTACGTATAATTCGGAATAATTGTAAATGTTAATAATTGTCAACGCAGTTCATTCAAGGTCATATGTAGTATAATCATCCCATAATTTAACATAATTGTTATATTTGTAAAAATTATTATTGACGTCACATACAGCAATTACGACCTCTTCAATTTTTCATGTTAACTATCTTGATCTTTTCTCTTTGCTGCTAGATATTTTGTGTATCTTATTTTTCATAAATACATATTTTGAACTCAATTTAGATGTAGTCATAAATCTTAATATACATTGATCCCCAGATATAAGTTCATGTTCAGATTCAATTTTGTATGTGGACGCTGCCTAAAAAGGGACCACTTTGTCGATTCTAGTTTCCGAGAAATTCACGTTTTTGTCTCAGCCACTCCCATTTACACCAATGTTAAATTGTTTTTTTTTTCATCTTCTCCAGCGACGTCATTTTTGACTTTATGAGGATCATTTTGGGCTCAAAATGTGCGGAATGTTATCAATAGGGGAGGGTGGGGCAAAACGGCCCCCCTTCAATTATCAATAACTTGTGAATGACATTGTGAAAATTCCCAGTTTCAACTTCATTTTGAAGATAATTTTTCATTCTTCAAAACGAGCTCTAACTCATCCCAATCGGATTATTGAATCGGAAAATATTGACGATTGAAGGGGGGCCGTTTTGCCCCATCCTCCCCTATTATCAGAATATACATAACTCCATATCGACTAAGTGGTCACTTTTCATGCGGGCGGCTCACGTATATACTAGATCAAAACGTTTTTCTTCCCTCCGCTCCGTCACCACCATCACCCTGAAGAAAACATGTACAATGATGCCGTACAAAACCCTAATTTGTTTGCTATTATACTGGAACTTCAAAAACAAGATAGAAAAAAAAACATTCTTTCCCATCGTCTCTGAGAAAATGAAAAACTATTAAAAAATTGGCATTTTCCTGGCCAAACAAATTCCATATCCTCCTGCCTCTTTTTGAAGAACATTTTTTTATCAACACATTTGTATTTTTGTAATTTTTTAGCAGAATAAACCACACGCTTTAAATGATTTGATTAAACAAAATTTTCTTTTAAATCTCATCAGTAATTTTTGAATTAAGAATTTCCTGCCATCCACCCTTTGCGCACCCGTTGAATATTTCAAAAAATCGTCCATTATCCCGCAGTAGCTAATTGGAAAAGAATGAAAGCAGGGAAAGGAAAGAAATCCTCATCCAATTATTTAAATTGAGACTGCCGCCTTGAAAAAACAAGAAAAAATCGTCAGTTATATCTGGAGCACTCTTCTATCTCCTCCACTACGACTCCTCCTCGCTAAAACTACACATAACATACAAAAAAAGTACTCTTGTTTGGTGTCTTTTCATGAAATTGACCCCTGAACACTTGAAAAATTTGAGAAAAAGAAACAATTCATCATCATAAAAATTTCAAAGACACTCAGACGACATAATATCCCTTTCCTTTCACTCCGCTGCTGGATTTGAAATGTGATTGTTCCCCTATTCTCCCTCTTACATGTGAATTTTCGGGTCACCTCGAAACTATACCTACCTGCGTCCCTCCCCGCCCTTCTCATCGCCGTCAACAAACATTTTCAAAAATTCGCAATCTCCCTTTATTTCAGAGATATTTTTAAAAACCTGACCGACTCAATTTTTTTGGTTGTGAATTCTCAATTTACAACCATCTTATTTTATCTCACGGTCAATTTTACCCCGCTCTCCCCTTTTATCTACCTCTTTTCTAAAAATATTCAATTAATTGTATTTCATAATTGATAGAAAGTTTTCATTTCTGATTATCATTACAGGGAATGACATTTCAATAACGATTGTCCATTATAATAGCAATGAAATTAGTCATGAATCGAATAATGAAAATATTCGGAAATATGTTTAAGTTCATTATTGATTAGACGAGTATTTAAAAATATTTCTGATTCCATTATTAATCGGATGGATATTCAAAAATATTTTTAAGTTCATTATTTATTGAATGACCGACCTATAATATTCAAATGTAATTACTGATTAGATAAGCAATACTTTTTTCTTTTTTAATGATTATTCATTAATTTAACGGCATTTAAAAAATGTGAATTTCTCCATAGTCATTCATAATATAATGTAAATAAAATATTTCCACGTTATTAGTGATTGAGAAAAAAATATGTATTTGCGGTACCAATGTTGGTGAAAGTAATATTTGTACCGGTCCCGGTCAACCGATTTTCGAAAAAAATCGAAAATGAAAAAAAAGTAATCTATGAATTAAAATGTAATTAATAGTGATCGATAAGGCTCACCAATACGAAAAAAATAATAAATCCGCCTAGGAATATGATTCCGTGGCAAAACAAATTTTTTCTCTCAGTATACATATTTATTTATAAACTATATTTGCATATCATATACATATTACATTATCTAACATACGTGTCTGTGATAGCTAAGCTATGTCGCAAACAACGGTGACAAAAAACGCTCCATTCCTTTTTTTTACGGAAACACTCCACCTATTGTTGCACAATTTTCCGAATCACTGCGTAAGAGGTTTATAGTGTTTACGTGTTTGAAAAGATAACGCAAATGAAATTCTAAGATATTCATATTATGGAATGCCTAGAGAGCGTGAGCACCCGCTGATGGTAACTGCTACCATCAGTATATACGTTAATCTTCAATGTCACATAATTTGTAAAGAATTCACTCAGGAAATTCATTTTGAAGTCCAATTCAATCGGTCGTCCAGCGGGAAAAAATAGATTTAATATATTCTCTTTGTACGAGGATTATACTACCAACAGGGAATGGAGAAGCCTGTATTATCGACGTTACAATATTGACCGATGGTTTCATAATTCAATTTCACTCGACATTCTTTGACAAAATATTCATGCACTACATCGTTGAATATTTCAGAGATAAAACGTTCATAATGTTCCAGAATTCTATGCGCCCGTTCCATTAATGTTTCCCTCTTCAATTAGTACTGCGTAGCGAACAGGGTTGATGAGATTGGTTCTAGATGGCAGCACATACTCGTTAGCTTAATATGGCCGCTCTGTAGGTTGCAGTACCATGGTGATGTTCTTGTCACTTTCCTAACAATTGAATTTTTATACGTTTTTCACGTGGTTTTATAGTGAATATTAAGGTTCATAAATATGTGTGTGAATGGACGCTTGCTATGTGATGTTTTTCGGTATCAAAGACTGTGAAAATCCTCATGAATACAATTAATAGAGGAAAGCGGTGAGTGTCATTACGTGAAATGATTGTTTGATCCCCCGAATCAAGACACCGATATTTTGTTTACCTTTTTTTATACTGTAGTCAATCGTGACATTCCACCATTCAAACAACGAAATTGGATTTTGGAGAATTGTAACAAAACAATTCAAGTGACTGTCGTTGTAAATTCGATTCAACTCGCTCTGCGTCAAAATGTTATCTGTCTCCGTTCTCCTCCCTTTTCCTTTCTCCACCACCCTTCTCTCTTCTTCCCTCTTTCTAGACGTCTCAGTCGCGTGGCGAGTTCACCCACGCATTTTAATATAATTTCGTATGACTCGGTCGTGAAATTTGTGTAAACATATTATTTTCGAGCATTATTGAGGAGACACATACGATCGATCTCAATGTTATTCAGTGTAAACAATGCATTCCTAGAATGAAGTTGATTGTATCTCCGGAATTATTCGATCTTCTGTTGGGAATCATTCACAGATTGACAGCTGACAGATGTATTATTACGTTTGAGATCATTTGGCTAGCGTAATGGTACACAGCTAATTAGAGACGATCACTTTAATAAATACTTTATTAACAATACATAAATTTTTGTTTACGAACATGGATTTGATGAAAATTCTCATTTATGTTTCAGGAGCTGCTAGGGAATCCGAGATCAAATTTGAGATTTATTTTACAGGTATGTAAATAACAAATAGTGATAAATCATTTAAAACAAGAAATTACAAAAGTAATGGAGTTGTTTTACCTATTTTTAGTCATTCCATTCTAATTCTATTCTTGTCTTGTCAACAAATGTCGATGGTTCACTAATAAATATGCCGAGAAAAGATTGTCATGAATGTCTAAAGAAGCTGAGGATCAAAATCTAAAAGTAATAAGATGCAGATGAAATAGGACATTAAATTTGAAAAATGCTTGAATATTTAATGCCATTCTCGAAAGATTTGACTGAATAAATTCTTAATAGTTCTGGAAAGGTTATAATTCTGGCTCTGTTCATTTAATTATTAAGGACTTCTTCCTCAATCTAGGCACTTCCTTTCTCGGAATTTTTCGAACGTTTTTTGAAGAATTTGTAGTTCCACACACGTTATAAGGATTTTCTGTGATTTTTCGTTTTTTTTTGCATCCTAAGGGAAGCTTAGTAATATTTATCTGTGAAAATGTTTTGTTCAATATCGTGAAAACTAATCAGCTGATTTAATTTTTTTAACATGCGTCGTGATGCATTCAACGAAATAATGGTTTTCTAGTGTTTTACCTGTATCTAGCTTGTGTGGACTATAATGCGACTAAAGGTTGGGGTAAACGCTTTAAATTTTGGGTAGTAATTAGTATTATCCTGTTATACTTCGATGATGAGATGATAAATAAAAACAAGGATTGCATTTATTTGAAGAATGCCTAACATTTTGGTTAAATGTACGCAACCATTTTTGGGGGCTTTCTATTGGAAAAAATAAATTCTAAAACATCAGGAATAGCAATGTTTAGAATCAGTTGAAATCATGCAGAATAAATCATAGTAATGAAGAGTCAAAAACACATGAGCAATTGATCGGTGAAAAAAACATTTTCTTTATATTTCGGTGACAAATTTTGGCTGTATTTGGTCAGTAGTCCCTAAGATATAGTATATTATTAAGACAAAGCGTTTCTGTCAGCGAACCCATTGGTATTTAGCTGCCCTATAGGTAATTGATTGTTAAATTCCACGTGATAATCCCTTGAAAACTCGTAGAATACATTGAGAGAAAAACGAGCAAGTTCTCAAACAAGTCTTGTTTGGGCCAACAAAATTGGTAGTTAAAAATTACAAAAAAAAATTGTTTGGTTCGAATTTGAAAGTCTCAAACATGAATAATTATCCTGTTTTCAACAACAACGAAATATTTGGCTGGAGAGGCGGATCATTCATACGAAACGGTGGCTTTTCAGGATAAAAATATCTATATCTTATAGAGTGAAGTTTGTCAAGAAATATTTTGTCCCTAAGTTACAAGATTGCTGTCATATCATTATTATTATTTCATTTAAGAATTCATTTGTTGTCTACAATTATTGAAGAGCCGACACAACAAACTACTATCCATCGTTTTATATAAAACGAGTATTTGCTGGGATAAAAGTACCGTATGGGAGCATCGAATAACGAAGAAGTAGTGCTAGAAATTACATTTCTTGCTTGTACAGAGAGTAAATTTTTTTTCAAAAGACTAAATGTGTTTTTGAAATAAACTGTTTTAATTTCGTCGCACGTTTCGCATGTTTGCCAGAGAAAGTCCTTTTTTGATAACTTTTAACAAACGATTTTTTGGCACGAGTAAGACTTGTTTGAGAACTCTTCCGTTTTTCTCTCAGCGTATGAAATTTTTTTGGGACGGTGTGTATGTAACAACAAAATCAAAGTGTGGCTACCCCAGCAGACAGAAACCTTAAGAGATGAACGCTTAATAACAATGCAGTAGGTAGAAAAAAAAATTTTAAAACGACGTCGACGGGCGCTTAATACCAGCCACATGCCAGCGGTTGTCTGGTTTTTGCTTCTTCAGAGCATCGAAGTCAGAGATAGTTGTATCTGGTTGAATCTAAACAAATTAACATATCTGAATTAGTCGGTGTCAGAAATAAAAAAAGGTCAAACAAAATTTCAAGATTTTCAACTGATCATTCTTAATATTTTTTCCATCGCCTGAAAACATTTAGACTATTTCAGTGAATCTCAATGAAGTTTTTATAAACAAAAAATCATTTTAAAAGATAACTTGAAAGGCCGAAGCGTGCACTTATCGAGAAATTTCCATTTTTTGAAAATTCTTTCGAATACACCCATTTATGTTACACGAAGGGAAATTCTTTAGAAAAATTCTTGTGCTGGTGCTGAAAAAATCCTAATCCACCCCCTGTGAAAACTTAGTGCTGTGAAGCTAAAAGTTCTAGGGATTTCTGTGAAAATTTCCTATAACGGGAAAAATTCATGTGTTGCTCAATAAAATTTCCAGTGTCGACAGTAGAATTTTTCCCTGGCCGCCACATTGCGTCCTTTTTCCCGCCCTAGCTCTAGAATTTTAATAGAGAATCTCTCTCCGTGTATCGATAGTCCAAAACGTGAATAAAAAAACTCACAGAGTATACTCCGAAGTTATGAGTATTCTTTGTGATTTTTCTTTATAACAGATAACTGATGTAAAACAATAGTATATTGTCCAATGAAGGTGGAATGCCATTTTAGCTACCAAGTTAGTTTACATTACGAGTCGAAGGTGACACTTGTAATCACGTGTCAAAAATGTTATTTACTACAATTTATGTGCCGATTTACAGGCAGGCGTGCTACAATAGTATATTTCGTCATAATGACGAAATATACTATTTCAGAATTTTTGGTGACCTTGAAAAAATGGGTGGCTGGATTGAGGAACAATTTATCTCCCTAGAAAACCTGTTCAAATTTAAACATATAATTTAGGACACAAGGCACAAGGCACATGACGAATACATAGATGTATTCGTCATATTATACCGATAGAAAATGCTGCCTTATAATTCAAGTACGTAGTCTTGAGATATTGAGTGGCCATTTTACATGGAATCTCCATATATCTACTTATAAACTCTATGTGACTTGTTACTCTTGTTAGCAAGAGCCATTAGATTGTGAAAAATTCTATCACATTTGAATTTGATACGATAACGATATCACACTAAAAGAAAAACCTACATAATATCACAAAAATCAGTTTTTGAGCGAAAAATATTGCATACGTATTTGATCAATTTATGGTAGGGTTCAGACAAGAAATCGGTACTCTTCGGACTAAGGATATGGTAGTTACTGAATGAAGAGGTGATGTTTTTTTTTGAAATGAGATAATATTCCTTAAAAGACAAGAATAGTTTGTTAGAAGGAAAAGAAGATATTGCTTCCCTTCGAACTCAAAGCGATTGAACGTAAGCGACGATTATATTTTTATAACATCTGGATGTTTTCCTCTGCATAAACTCTCTATTCATTCAGTATGAAAGTCTCTGATTCATGATTCACTGAATCGAAGCTTTTAATATTTTCAGTCATTTTCTCATCTTCTGACACGAAAAAACCGATCTCTTGTGGCAAGAAATTCTCACTTTATCATGAAATGTTCAGGACATCAACACTTCACCGAAATCTGACATTGTCTGACACATTATCCGGAATTCTTATCTTAAATTAATTTTGTGATATTATGACGATATTTCTCTCAGTGCACGAACATTTTCTAGAAATCATGAGCATTCCATTAACTACGACATTCAACATTCAATTTATTCGAAATTTAATTCGAAGCGATGTTTCATAATGAATTGGATATGGCATTTAATATCAATTAGATTGGAATTTCACAATAAATTGGAAATTGGTGATTGCATTGCATTTGTTATACTTGCTGCATGTAAAAAGCCACAATTTTTGTAAATTTTCAATCTGATTAGAAGTATTATGGGCAATTTGAGCTTGACGTCTCCTCAAACCCAATGAATACCAGAATTAAGAATAGTTGTCCTGAGAAATACAAATTGTGTATAGCCACTCTCGATGAACTTTACAAATCAAATTCTATGTACTTCAGGAACTGATAAAGAGAATTTGCGGCAATTTATCTCTTTTGAAAGTTTGGAAAAGCAACTTTCATGTGCATCCGTGATCGTAAAATGTTTCAAGTTGAATTGAGAGATTCTACTCATGCAAAAATTTCAATTTCAGCCTGCTATTTTCTACTGCGAATGATCATTAGCATAATATTTGTCTTATTCGACCTATCAGTTGGAACAGCTATTACCTCATGATAATCTTCCATTTTTGCATAATGCCGATTGCAACTGTCAAATATTTGTTATTTTTGGTAACTAAATTTTCAACAAGTGGTTACCCTCTGCATTATCAACACATTTCTGAAGTTAACTTACCGACTGTACTTTCCAGTTCATGTGTTGATAAAGTGGAATGTTAGCAAAGTGCGCGTCCTGCCTTATCGATAAAAATTTACCGACATGTGGTCCATGTTGGTTTCCCGAGCCATCGAATGGTCACATATTTCTAACGCCGTAAACTTTAAATATCCGGATTGGAGTCATATACCAACAGTTTGCCGTGATTCCAACTCATGGTCCCTTAGGTTCCGTAGATTAACCTGTAAGCGAGCATTTCCGTTCATTAATTAACTCGAATTGATACGCACAAATAGTTGAAAAATAATAATGAAAACTCCATGAAAGAATGAACTTAAGGGGTAACACACTGAGAAAGAAAATTATTTTTACCAAGTATTCATTTACTTGAGTGAAGCATTTTTTTTCGAAAATCGTATTTCTTCAGTCGAGTCATTCCTAGACGAGCATGATTAGGTTTCAATTATAAAAATCATGTCGGTCTATTTATAATTTCATCGAGGATGACAATGTTGCACATGACCTTGGATGAACTCCTCTAATGATTATGCATTTTTCATAAATTTCTTATTTTCTGGGGGGAAGAATTTCGATTAATTGTTCAATGCTGATACTTATTGAGGGAGTTCACTCAAGCTCATAACTTACCTGATCATCTTCTGGAGCAATATAATTGGCATAATTGAAACCTAATGAGAACTGCCTGGGAATGACTGAACTGGAGAAATAGGCTATTGAAAAAATAAATACTTCTCTCAAGGAAATGGATATTTGGCAAAAATAACTTTTTTTTCTCAGTGCAGAAGGCCACCGTTTCCTCGAAACTTTTAAAGAATAGTCGCTCATTTGAATAGCGTGAGTCGATCAGTGGCAAATGGTATCAGAATATTTCGCTCTCCGTGGTATACCCAACGTTCAACCAACGCAATGCTGCCCCTTTCACATAATCCGCCCTTTCGGCGCACTCAGAAGCATAAATTTTTCATTACAAAAGATTGCCACTCACGATAATTTTCATATTGGGCATAGAATTGTCATTTATTTTCCTGATTCTTTTAGATTTTTTCTAAATTTTAATCTTTTCCCTAACCTTTCAGCGTCATTAAAAAGTTTATTTTCTCATGAATATTTTGTAGGGAAATCAATACTTCATAATATTATGGTTTTCATTTGATTAATTATATTTTACGTACTTACTTGCGGCTGGGTCAACGTAAAAGTCAAAGGGGTGTGCCGTTGCGCAGGTGATTCGCATAAAACAGACGAGGGTAGTTTGTGAAGTGGAGTGACTGGCGTTTATACAGGGTCGCGGGCACGCAACTCGAGTAACGTCGGGTGAATACTGAAAGTAAAAAATCATATTCTTGGATCATTTCATAATTGAAAAATGAAACAAGATAATTAGTCCAGAATGTGAGCTTCGTTGTTTTCAAATTTAGTCTATTATGGAAGATGAAAAGATTCTAACGATACATTGACGGACACCTTTTCACGGATGTTTTTTTCGTATTTTCCACTGGAAGAAGGATTTGATCACTGGCATATCAAGCCATTACCTGCGAGTGCGTGCCGATTCATCACAATATCAAATTTCAGCTCCTCACCATTTGTCATTGATTGATAAATGCGTTCCTGATCGTGATATTCATCACGATCGGCAATGGAATGAAAATTACTCTGCTCTCGACAAAAGGGACGTCAATGTCATTATTTGAATGTAAAACAAAGGAAATGGGAAGTGTAGGTGAAAAAGCGAATTACTTTTTATTCTTTAACAGCGACCCTTTGCTTGTTCACTGAAAAATGCTTTTGTCGGAACCAGCGTAGTGGTCATAGCGGAGAAGAGCGTGTCAAAGCATACGTCAGCGAGTGAGGTTAAGCCAACTGACCAGAAAGCATTATAGTGTTTTTTTGTAATTTTTTGCTCATTCTTCCAATTTTTTCTGGACCACTATTCGTTCATTAAATTCTGGAGCTGCGCTAACTGCTCTACAGAGACTCTCCAGCAACTCTCCATGTACCCTTAACTTTTTTTCAGTTGGTTCTCTGCATGCATTAATTTCTGCACCTATTTTGGGTCCCAACAATAAGAGCATAACGAAAATTTTGGAAAGTTGTCCATATGCATCGGATAAAGAAGTTCACATCAAATATTTGCTCTTGATGAGCACCTGTGAAAATAGTCAGACACTTGATACATGAGTGGAAGCAGTTCTATAAACGAAAATTCGGTATTGCAGAATGTCAAACGCAAGCAGAAGTTCAAACGGGTAATATTGATCATATTACATGCATGAAGTTTTGTTTATTCGTGCCTTGTAAATGAGGAGTATCACGAAAACTTATGATGGAAATACTGCCTCGTGGGGCCTGACTGAATTCTCAAATATTGATGAGATTATTAACATTATATATATTATATTATTTTCTTATTTTATATCGTTATTCATGATATTATATGTTCATTATATTAACGAAAAAATATATATTTTTATTACACTATCTGTCAGCGGCATTTGACGACAAAAGAAAAGTCTTCATTTCCAGAGTCACTGATGGTCAGAGACCCATCCCTCATTTTTAAGAATCTATCACCAAACTTCAGTGCTCAGTATCACCAATAACTGGTGATAGATTCCTGGAAATCAGTGATATATGTTCCTGAAAATTAGTGACATGTCCTTGTAAACCAAAACCTTTTTTCTCTAGGACGGACACAAAGTAGAAATAAACTGAATAAGATTTCTTTTCAATTCATTTGGTCAGATTTTCAACTTAGTTGAATGTTATCACCATCATTATTCTTATTATCCCTGTCTGCTATACAACCGATTGTCTTTTTTACAGTTCTATCTCTCCCCTCAGCCTTTCGATAAAATGTTAATAGAAACATGTTATTTATACATACTTGAATAAATTTGAAACATCACATTTGAAGAAACCACCAGTAAGCTCATTCACCATCATAAAAATCAAATCAACCAATATAGCTATCGTAATCATCTGTTAACTTCGACTTAATGGCATTAAAACAAACATTTTAAGCTACGATTGAATTCATTTGAAGCATGATATTCAAAGAAATCCCCGGAATTCAGATTTTCAAAAATACATCGCCTTCATGTTCGAAGTCGGTCAAAAGGACATCCAAACTAATTTTTGAAGCCATTATTTAATCAAGTCAGAACGTTTTTTTTTAGTTATCGTGCGACAACCGATTTCGGAAAAAAATTCAAAATTGAAAAAACTAATCGATGAATTGAATTTTAATTAATGGAGAGTAATAGGGCTCAACAATATCTAGATTTGGAGAAAAAATTCAATTCCATGCATTCATTAGCGAACAATTGAAGAAAAACTTCGGACTTTTTGGATCATACTGGATTGATATAACACAAGAAATCCAAAACTTAAATGTAAACGTTTGCAAAGTTTCCATTCGGAAGTAAAAATTACATTCGTCACAATATTTGATCAGCTGCAAATAACTAAGTCTTATTTGCTGTGCTACCCATTGAATTCTCGAATGCGGGGTGAGGCAGCACTGCAATGAAGGGTATGCCCGGAAGTTTTCACTGAGGGTAATAAGAGTGGCGCGTGCGTGACCTATACGCAAGAGTATATTTGCGTTTTGTTGGTTAGTTACATACTTGAACGATAACTACGTATGGACTGTGGCCCTCAGTATTTTTTTCTTTCATGAGAATCGAGACGTATAGTATTACTGTAATTACTTCGTTGTTAACGAAGTACGTAGTAATCTGTTACGGCATTGGGAGGTTCTTTCATTCGTTAGGTAGAATACTCAGAACTTCGCGGACCACACCTTATACTCCCTAAATTTTACTATTGCTGTTGTTTCCTATCGGCTTGATGTGATGTCTAAAGTTTTCACATGAAAACTAGTAACCAACAAAAATGAAAAGTAGGGATCCCTCGAAATTTCTCTATCATGCATAATTTCTGGATTAGACGCAGCTGTCTCCACGTGAGGATTCCGAAACGAGCCGTGGACGTTAGGCACCCTTCATACATAACCTTATGCTAGAAAATTTTACCCTATATACAGGAGCATAGGGGAGCACAGTTGGAGTACGTTGGTCGGTTCGAGAGTTTGCTATCGAATCAATTTGGTGGAATGGTCAGAGAAGCGAATTTGTATTCTCCATGGCAAGCGGGTTTTAAAGGCCACTTTATCTTCGGTCAAGTGATATCCGTACATGCCATTGTAAAAAAACAGTGCAAAAGCACTTTGAGTTCAAACTAAGACCTGAAAAAATCTAAGTGGTGGTAATGTTTCGTGTAAGTGGTTGTACAACCGTTAAATACGCACCAACGTGCTTCGTTTCGGAGAAACTGTGTAAGAGTGGCTTAGTGAGGGGGAGTGGAAAGAGGTGCGGAACATGCCCAAGTTCACGTGTAAAACCCTACTGTTTCGTACAGAGAGAGAGTCAGCCGGTAAGTGCGAGCATAGATCTTTCTCAACGACTGCAAGGATCAACGATGGTCTACACTGTAATGTAGACAGCGAGGAACACCATATTCTGGTCTATTTCAAGAAGCACTCACGACGATCTCCAAGTACACTCATCTTTTCGGCCAGTAGACAGCTCAAATCATACAAGGAGTTTTCAAGGAAAAATTTTCAAGGAAATTGTTCTGGCGCCCGAAAGAATGAAAGTTTTGAAATGAATTTCCGATAGTGTACTTGTTGATTACCATTTCCAGTTAATGCAGTAGAGTCTCCCTATCATTCGTACTGCTTATAATTTCCGTAGGGGACGTTGCCTTCACTGGTGATGTCGCAAGACACTTTACGAGATAAAACTTTGGAGAGATGATCTCGGTCTCAGTGAACACGGAAATCTTGGCTTTCGTCTCAGTCTCAAAAAACGCAGTATCGACTCCTCTCGTGATGACTCCAAGCCAAAAAAATTCAAATAGAATTGAAATTTAGAGAGAAAAAATTCCGATTCGCCCAGCCGGGATTCGAACCCGGGTCTCCCAGTTACGCGCCGGGCACTCTGATCTCATCTCGGTCTCAAGTTTTTCATGCGTTTAATATGAAATCCCGGTTTTTGTCTCGGTTTGTCTCATCTCGGTTTTCTGCATATGAAAAACGTAAAAAACTGGAAACCGAGATGAGATGAATTGACTTAGAGTGATCACGCTTGGCGTCGATACTGTCTAGTAGAAATTGTGAAAGGCTCTGCGACATTGGCTGTTACAGC